TACATTTTTCTTTGATACTTTTCACCATGTTCAAAAGATTCTGTTGTTAACCAAAGGGTTTTTTTTTTAAGAAATTTGATTTCAATTTTCAATTCTTCAACTTTCTCTAAGCCCCATCTCTGCCTGTATCTACAGGACCCGTAACCATGACTCTGGATCCATCCAGCCCGTACACCAACAGCAGCTCTGTGGCGGCAGCCATCTTGGTTCCCTTCTTTGCCCTGATCCTGTCAGGATTTGCTTTTTACCTCTACAAGCACAGGTAAGACACAGTATATCCTCAATGTAAATTCATCACAGGGCGCGCACACGGGGGAGAATACAAATCAGCCTCTCAGGCTTTGTTTTTATCAGCACAGCATCACTTCCCTGATGCCCTCTGACAGGAGTAAAGCCAAATCCAAAATTCTATATGACAGGCTGGAAATGAGGGCTTAAACAGGGGCTCGTCCCCTGTGCTAACAGCTAGTTGATATTTTCACAAGGTAGGAGCTAATTCTGGGTAAGGTAAACTGACCTTTGGGAATGTAGTGTCTTTTTTTATCCCATTCAGCTTTTTAACCCGGCCCGCCGAAGGTAAACTGACCTTTGGGAATGTTTATGCTGGCTAGTGTTGCTTTTTTTATCCCGTTCAGCTTTTTAACCCGGCCCGCCAAAATTTTCCAAATTGTATAATTTATTTATATTATCATTATACTTCTGCCTTTTCCCTGCAATACCCACGTTTCCCCAATAGATGGCGTAGACTTTTTATTTATATTAGCCCTTATCCATTTTCCTTTTACATGTCATTTATCTTAGTGCTTTTTATTTATATTAAATTATATTAATGCTTTTAATTATTATTATTTGTTAGCTATTTCTACGCTTCACTACTGAAATCTGTTGGCAAAAATGTAGCTGGTTTTAGCCAAAATGATGAGAATTTAGTTTAATATTGGATATATAATGTAAGCTAGGTGAAGAAATGAGAAATGAAGAATTATTCAGAGTCATTGCGTATTCTTCTGTCCCAGCAGATGTATCTGTTATTGACAGGAAAAATCTACCTGTTATGAATTCAGATGTTTTCTTAGATGAAAACCGTACATTTGAGGAATAACCAATACGCACAAAATTCAGTCCCTGAGATCAGTAACGATCTTGTGGCCGAGCCCTTTTGGAAACATCATTACTGTGTGACTCCCTCATTTTTCAGTGAGTGGAGAAGATGGATGTCTGTAGTATTTGTGTATTTAAATGAAAATTGGAAATGAAAAATCTCAAGCTAAAGAGCTCTCTGTAGGACACCGAGGCATTATGGGTAGGCAAGCGAAACAATGGGTAAAAAATGACCTATTTTGTGTCCTTAGTCTGACCTAATTTATGTTTATGTATTCTATTTATGTCTAGTATGAGATTTTAGCTTGCTTGCTAACAGCAAAACAACATGATTCTTCATAGCTTGGCTAAATATAATACAATATGTATATATGCTATGCTACTTGCTGTGTAATTAAAGCTGCTGGTTGTACACAGGACGTTGTCTGCTGACACAGATGACAATGAGAGACCTAAAGACACCTGGGGGCCTGGCGGCAGGTAAGACTTGTCATTCAGATGTTAACCTGACCTCCACCCGCCGCCACATCCTCCGTCAAACTTCTTCATCATCTCTCGTTTTTAGTTTTAATTTTTAATTTTTTGGAGGGCGTTTTAAGACTTTCCTCATGCTGTTTAGTACTGCTGCAGAGTTTAACTAAAGTATTAAATGTTCCCTCACCTGATCTGGTCTGACATTTGTTCTACTGTTATTAAAAATAACATAAAAGTTTAACTGAACTAAAGATGAAGTTAACTTTATGGGAGATAAGCAAAAAAAAAAACTTTAAAAGCGGCTGGGGTGACATTTACACTGAGAACAAGTAACCATGACATTTTGAATTAATACAGCCGTACTTTGTTATAACAGCTATCATATATATATATATATATACATATATATGATTCTTTGTTTCATCTGTTCTCTGTCGGCATGATACCATCCTCAACAAACATCTGACCTGACGTACCGTCCAGTATACCAGCATAATCAAATCAGTTTTCTTTAATGATTGCATTAAGCCGAGTGATGGTTTCATGTTGATCTCACAGTAGGTGTCGTTGTTTTTACGCTACGATGTAGAATACAAAGATGGGCTAACGCTTTAATTTGAGTGTGCTGGTTTTTTTTTTTTTTTGTTTCATCTGTCGATTCTGTTCACTTTATGCATCTAAATTTTAGCAACACCTATAATTGGACTAATATTTCAAATTCTGGCATCACTTCTGTTATAAGTCCTGGTGAAAATACTAGATTGTTTTCTCTTACTGTTCTTATGTTACCATTTTATTTTAGTTAATTATTTTTTCTTTAATATGTGAAATTATAAATTATAAAGTTATTTTCAGGTAATTATTTTTTCTTTAATATGTGAAAAAAATTATAAATTATAAAGTTATTTTCAGCTTTGGGCTGGTTATAATTAACTTTTTCTGTGCCTAATGTTTTATATAGATATCTTTTCTCTTCTTTATTCATATTAATTTTGTCACTTCCATTTCGCCTTTTCAAATGACCCAATGTTTTCCACCCATGTTCCAAATGTAATCATATCTTTTACAGTTCCAGTAAAAGTTCATGTTATTAAATATATATGAGACTTAATAGGGACATTTCATGGACACTTTTTACAGTGATCACAATAAAGTCCAAGCTGACAGTGCTAACAGTTTTTCACCATGCCAATAAAATGAAACCGCTGTACCCACAGCCACCACCAGGACCATGGCAGCGGTTTGAGCCTGTGTGTGTTGGAGTGTGTGCAGTTTTGTAAAGTAATGGGTGAGAATGCAGGGGAGGCTTAGTGTCTCCCCTGGGTTGGATTTCCACTGTTTGCTCATACACCCCCACTACCAGTACAACACACACACACACACACACACACACTCAAACTTAATGAGGTCAGAATCCAACAGCCTTTCAGCTGCAGCTCTCCTCCCTGCTAATAGTTCCACAGGGTTTGGAAGTTAGTGATTAGATCTAACTGGATTTTATTGGCTGATTATTTAAAAAAAATAGTAATCTGCCAACAAAACACACACACACACACGAGGAGCAGCCTTCATATTAATGGCGTCTTTCCTATTTCCTGTACTCTTGCACAGATTTTTCTAAAAAATCCTCATTGAGGTAATGTATTCTTTTGAACCAGAATGACTGAAAAGCTGCTGCAGGATGATGACAGGCTGCACGCACACGCAGACGTGCACGCACGTGTGCAGCAGATAGGCGCCGGGCAACAGATTCACTGAAGCACGGTCGACGGCGGCGCTCCGTGTTCTCATTCCTGACACGATTCTCGGAGTCATTTGAAGATTTTTTTTTTATTTGTTGGAGAAAATGCTCTCAACTTCTTACCTTTGATCCCGGGAGTAAAACTTCATATCCGCATGTGTAACAAGACGACTGACAGTACTTACATGGGTGCGTTAAAGGTCCAGTGTGCAGATTTTAGAGCAGCCAATTAGGGTTCAGTTTGGTGCCTGGAAGGTTTTTTGTTTTTTTTTGGCATAGTTTGAATAAAAATGTTTTTTTTTCTATTGCCATTAAATGCTAACGGGCATCAAGTCAATTTTATTGTCAGATATTCCGTACATGTCAGTCATATAGCACAAATATAAATAAGTAATAGTAAATGAAAGGCCCAATCAGCGATATGCTCCGAGGTCCGTAGTTCTATGAAAGAACATGTAAACATGGGCCGAGCCTGCTGGGTTTGGACCGTAGACACTGCAGGCTAAAGAGGCTGTCAGATGGGTGGGCGGGGTCAGCTGGAATCCTGATGGCTTTGCAGGTGAGGCAGGTGTTCCACACCAATGACGGAGACATTGCCTCTGGGCCAAAGCGCCACACCCAAAAATACCAATTTTTGAAAACTGATACGAGTAGGAGTGCTTTCATTGGTTTGATACCAAGAATATACTGATACTACATCAGGTTGTGTTTCAGGAAATGTGCAATGAACTGGAAGGCGGTGTTAAATATGTGGCACAGCTCTGTGGGTGTCGGTGAGAACATCACAGTGAGGACACTGAGCAGGAAAACACTGGTTTTGTTTTCTTCTCATTGATATGTGACTATAAAAAGCCAAAAGAAAACAAAGATTTTTGTTGCTGTGGCCACAAAACAAGTCTGTTAAATTTCTCTCCACAAAAAAAAAGAAAAGAAAATCGACCTTGTCCATCCACTGTCCTTCTAAGCCGAGAAAAGACATTAGCATATTCAGCTGTGAGGCAAGTGTTTCGTTAGATTGCTGGTATCAGAACAGAACAAATCTTACCAATAACACTGTCTTTGTCCTTGATGTAGAAACATCCCTTCAAACTATAGAGCAGTGGTGACAAATTCCTGGCCCGGGGGCCACTTTCAGCCCACAAACCTATCACATTTGGCCTGCGTCTAGATGTCAGAAACCAGTGTTTTTATGTGAATTATTAAAATATATTCATCCAAACATTTACAAAAAATAGCAAATAGACATGTCACAGCTGGAGTGGAGTGGTGAGAACAAACAATCACTCCTGTTTTTCTGTTTTGACAAATAGGAAAGAGGTAATAGACCTCGGCCTTTTGGCTCTGCTTTGATTCAATAACCTCCTAACATAGTAATAAAACAGGGATAATCCAACTGTTTTCATCATTCAGTGATCTGCTGCAGGTTAGTGCTGCATATTATTAGGCCTGGGTCAAACACAGTACCACTCACCTGGTACTGGTGGGTTCAGGTCGGTGCAGGGTCTTTATGTTTGAGAGGTTGGAAAAGATTCAAAGATTCAAAGGTAAAATCTTCGCAGTAGAAGAAGAGAATGACTACGTATGATTACCGGCGAATCACATTTTAGTGAAACTTAAACATAAGTGATACTTGAAATTTGAAGTTGTGCTTCAGAGTACTCCTGTGATAAAACTTTCTACTGCAGTAGAAACACAGCTTTGATTCAACTGCTCCAGCGACAGGAGAAGATTCCAAATCAAAGAATCTCCTCTTCTTTTCTCCACTTCTCTGCCCCGCCTGTTTCTGTCTGATTAATGCGAGCACTGCAGCAGTCTTCAAATGTTCTCATTGGTTCAGACCTGTGATGACATCACTCACAATTGTGTACCAACTTGTCTCACCTCATTATTATTTGTTTTGAAGACAATTGTGACTTTAAAAGTGACTATTTCTTTTGTTGTACTTTTTGTGTTTTGTGTGCATCTGAACTTTCATTTGAGATATGTTTCCTATAAATACCAGTGACTCATTAAAGATGTCTCCTTTGTCTCTTCAGGACACGTCCAAAGGTCCAGTTTAACGGCTACGTGGGCCATGAGAGCTCCAATGGCCAGGCGTCCTTTGAGAACCCCATGTATGACACCAACATGAAGCCCACTGAGGCGAAGGCAGTTCGGTTTGACACCACACTAAACACAGTCTGCACCGTGGTATAGTCCAGTGAGCCCACCACTGCACAGTGGTGTCGTCCAACCTCCGGACTGCAGTCTGCAGTGTGGCTCAACCGAACAAAAAAAGAACACAACAAACATGGTTTGGACATGTCACCGTCCGCAATCTGTGTCGTAGCTTGCTGGTCCTCTCCGCAGGTCAGCGCCACCTGTCACAGTCACATGGCATCACCCACCTCTCCTGACAGCAAGTAAAGGCAGAAAGAATGACACCATCAGGTCAGGTGACGTCTGTTGTTCAGGAGATCAATACTGGGACCAGAGAACTTCTTAGGCACTGTCGAAGTTCAAACATCAACAAACGGGGAATAATTAGTTCTACTGCCTTCATGGGCAACAACCGAATTCAACAGTCCTTCGCCAACTCCAAAATTTCAAACCCCTCGCTCAAATACTAAGGTTTTCTAATGCCTCCTAAATGTTTGCGTCGCAATTTGATTTTCCCCAAACCTGTCCTAAATGCCCACATCTCTAATTTGCACAGTGGTGTGGCGGCCTACTGAAGCCTGTAGGCCCTGACCACTGTGAGGTTCTACCCTCAGGGGAAGCACATTCACTGTTCCACCTCCAGTCAGACGTTAAACAGTAATTGGCCAATCTCTGCACGTCACAGAAAATGACTGTTGCTGGACCAAAACATTTGACTAGGCGTCCATCCCACTGAACATGACAAGACGAGACCCCAACTCTTCAAAGACCGCGCAAAGTCAATACAACAAAGGGTTTCAACCAAGACCGTGGTCCTCAGATCCAGCACTGAATACTTAGCATTGTAACAATTAGCAGGTGAATTGGAAAAGTTTCAGCCTACTGAGTGAGGTTACAGTAAATATAGCAGGACAATCACAGATGGTAAAGTGTTTGTTATAAATGATTTTTTTAATGGAAACTTGATCATTAACTTTACCCTCTGCCACTTGCTGTATTGCCTTTAGCGTCACCATGGCAGTATTTTGTCAAAGTTGGGCTGGAACGTACCAAACCAATTGTCCAGCTGCCTTGATCTTCTCAACACCATTCAGATGAGTTTGGAGATGATGGAGATATGCTGTAGACATAACATAGGCTTGGAATTAGTCAAATATTTATCAGCAGCAGACCAATCAGGCTGAACCACACAAAAAAATAGACATCTGATTCGTCAAGCTGGTTTGTACGATGAACAGGTTTGGAGTGGCCTGTCTAACATAATCAAAGAGTCAGACAGCTGAGTCCTGTTCTTGGCTGGGATTCTGAGTGGAAACACTGGAGGCAAAACGCTGTCGAGTTCTTCAACTGCTGCAATCAGCTGTGACCACATCCAGGAAATGATCTGTGTTCATCTCACTCTGCCTGGAAATCCAGTCAGTGTGGTGTTTCTCTACCGAAGATTCTCCAGTTGAAGGATCAGACCCAGATGAACACTCAGACACACAGACAAAGACAAATGAACACACACACACACCTTTGTCAGTGTTGCTGGAAGGAAGAGACTAGGACAGATTGCTGTGGGAACAGAGACAAGCTGGTATCTCCACTTGTCTCTTCTGGCATTTTTCTTCAGTGAAGATATTGATGAACAGACTTTGTTCAAAAGCCCGGCAGCCCAGTGGGACTCCCCGACCTATTGCTGCTGGGGAACCCCAAAATATAAACTTTATATGAACTCTTAAACCGCACAAATTTTGCACTAGTGTGTTTTTCTGACTGGGTTATGGAAAAAAAAAGAGAATACTTTTCGGGTCTGAAATGGGTTTGAAACAGGTCATTTGAAAAAAGAGAAATTTTATTTAAAGACTTCTATCTTTAAAAAAAAAAAAAAAAAAAACAGAAAAAATGTGAGTCATTGTCTCAATACAGGGTTACAGAGTGTTTGTATATACACGTTTATATTCCAGACTTCCTGAGAGCAGAAGGCTTGACCCCCGTGCTGTACCTTTATCAGTTTACACGAAGGCCTCTGAGATTTTATCTGTCACAAACACACGGCTAATGTTAACACATTCCTGCCATCTTTGACCAACGGCTGCTTCTCAAAGCCCATGTTGTTGCTGGTGATTCGGTAAATACCATGTGGGTTGGTCCAACCAAAGCACTAGCCTCAAATACATTTGGCTATAATGTAGCTACAGAGTTTGTTCGTCTGTGGGCTCCATTAGGTCCAAACACAAATCAGCTTGAATGGAGGTGAAGTAGCGTGATATGTACCATGTGATATGTACCATGTGGTACAGTATGTACCATGTGGTATGTGACTCTTCCATTGGATACTTCTATTCATGAGAAACCTCTATTTTCTAATACAATCCCCCAAGTCTTACTTTAGAAGACCTTAAAGGATCTAGAAAGTCTTTTTTCCCTAACATCCCTTCCCCCCTGCTTCCACAAGGAGGAGTCAGAGTTTGCGAAGGAAGTGAAGTGAGTGTGGATTCCGCCTGATCTATCTCCACGACAGTAAACAGTGTTGGCTTTGAGGAACAGCCTGAGTGCTTCAAGGCTTTGAAACCACGTGTTCCTACATCGTCACGTCACAGATTCATCAGATCATTTCAGACGCACAAACCTGTTGACACGCCTTTGTTAAAGGAAAGAAAAAAGAAACAACAGCTCATTCGATCAATAGTAAAGGCTGAAAATACAGTATCACGACAACATGCACAATTATTGTTGTCCTCCGTCGTTGCCCCTCCCCCCCCCCACTTAAATTCTTCTCTGCTTTGGAAACACCTTGGATGAAAAGCGGAGGTCACATTCTGCTCATAGATACTCATATCATTTCTGCACACACTTTTCATTTCTGCAGTTTTCTGCCGTTAGCAGTCAGAAGGCTGTGCTAACACCCATTCATCTCCAGGACCTAAAAGAATATGAACTAGCTCCAAATTTACTCTCCAAGCTTGTTGTTTTTCACAGTGTTCTCTCTAAAAGTTTCTTATTTTTTTAAGGATGCTGCACTTTGTCTAGCTCTTACTTCAGTAACTGCTTCCATTGTTGGTGTATGTGTGTATGTGTGTGTGTTTATGTACGTGTGTGTGTCTCATTTCCTGTTTGTTTCTCAATCTGCACAGAACATCATGAGGTTGACACTCCAGGCAGTTTCTCGATGTCGCACGTGTTTTTTTCTTTTTCGACTGAAATCAGTTTTTTTTTTTCTCTCATTCAATTTCTCACTCAAACAAATGACACTTACTTGACATTATTGTTTGGATCAAGACCATAGACTGTACACAAGAATTGTATGTAACTATAATTCGAGCCAAATAAGCAGACAGGAAGTGCCCCACTGGTTTTAATCGCAGCTGTTTGAACTGGTGTACTCTAAAACAAATCTGAAAGGTATTTTTTAACAAGTCAAACATCTGGTGGTGAACAACTTGACATTTTTCAGTGATTCAAAGGTAATCTTGTTATAGTTAGCTAGGTCATGGACGATAACACACGTTATATGTAAGGGATGGCTCGATCCAGTAGCCAAAATCTGTATCTGAATCGGTCAAAATTCCAGACTCAAACATTGACAAAAACAACTGTAGCCCGTCTGAACTTAACTTTCCTTGACATGCAATAAGCCAAGGGTCCCCAACCCCCAGTCTGGGGGTCAATGCTGACACAACAGGAGAAACAGGAACTGTTTCTGTAATCCCCAACACCCTCCCCGCCAAATCACTTGAAAACAAAATTGTGGTTGTTCCACTGTTATTCATTCACTGCCTCAGGGCTGAGAACAGACAGTAAACAAATCCAGAGATGCTCAGTCACTAAAATACCGACACTAGTTAAAAGAGTGTGACACCAACGACAGGAAAAAAAAAAACAAAACCTTGAAACATTTCAAATCTGTTCACCGGAGAACAAGGAGACATCTGTAATCAAGAGCAGAGCGTATGCTCACCAGTGGAGGCGCTTCCTCCTCATTCATTGCTGGAGTACACACAGCGCCAGTGTTTTAATTGATTTAATTATTTCAGTTGAGATTTCCTGCAGTCAGAAGTCTATAATGGAGCCCGAAAATTACAGGATGGCATGTTTTCTTCCAAGCATAATGAAAGCTGTTATTTTTTCCCTAATAACGATGCTGATGTGATCTCCCAGTGTGTTCGGAGTGGTAGCATTCACAGAAGAAAGTTTCTGTGAATGAGCAGAAATGAAGCCAAAATATGAAGCAAATATTTGGGATGATTTCTTAGAGGTTACAGCGTAAACCAAAGCCTTGTTGACGTCCCAGGCCTCTCATCAGATCTGTAGCCTTTACATTGACTTTTAAGGACGATTGCTCTTGTCTTACAGCAGAAGCTCACCAGATCGTTGGTTCTAATCTCTGGACTGTGCATGTTCTCCCTGTGTGTGCATCACCTTTGCTAACTTAAGGTGTGGACGTTGGGGTGAAACCTCATTTATGTTCTGTCTTTGTGCGTAACTTGTTATACACGTCACTGCTTTTATGGTATCACGGTTGTTAAGCAGTTTGTCCACTGGGAGGCAGACTTCCACGCCTCCTTCCCCACACATAATTGGCTACACATAATAGTTGTGATGACATCATAGATGTGCTGGCATGTTTGCTCAGACCTCCCTACGTGAGCTACAGTTTACTGCACAGCAAAGTGTTGATAATGTTGATATTTATAGTCGAGGCCAACGGACAAACAGCACCAAGACGAAGGGTCTGGAGTTAAACCCACAACCCTCTGATGCTTAGTGTTTGGTTAAAGATAGGTGAAGGTGTTTCCTACAAACAATCCTGTTCAATTCTGCCGGGTCTTCTGTTGTAGTCACAGTGAAGATGCAGAGAGGTCACGACCTGAGGAAAATTCTCTTTTGGAGTCATTCACAAGTTCAAAAGTTTACTTTTTAGTCAAAATGTTCTAAGACAAATTTAATTTACCATTTATTCATTGATAAAGCCCCTGGTTTCAAGTCGGAGGAACCACATACTTAGTAAAAGTAGACTTGCAGATTTCTAAAATCTATTTTAAGACAACCAGATGTAACGCTCTGGTGGCCACATATCATGGGCCAGAGTAGGCCCGCGGGCCTCGAGTTTGATATTTGCTTCTCGAGAACCTTTACATGTTCTGTTTTTACGATTGTAAAAAGTGTGTCCACTTATCTGTTCCATGGTCTGTAGATTCAGCGTGAGTTCGTCTGATGGTCTGTCCAGACTTTTGGATCCCAAAGGAATATCATGCAGTAAAACAAATTTGACTAAATCTGAAACAAAATATTTTATAAAGTGTAACTGAACTTTTCTGTGATTCAAGTCACAGTTGTAGTCAATCTGAAATTTTTTGTGATTCAAGTCACAGTTGTAGTCAATATTTTACTTAAACTTTTACTTTAAGATTTCTCATCGGTCCTTTATTCGTTATCGTTGTCGTATTACAAAGAAACATCTGGCTGCGAGTTGAGGACAGACAATAGACAATAGAAGAAGAAAAAAAAAACTTCCAAATTTTGAAATGTCAAGGTTGTTTCTTGCTTCTCCAACTCTCGGCAGTGGAGGGAGACGGCCTCGCACCTTCCCTTCACTTTTTGTATAGTTGTGTTGTCAGCACTCCTCACTGAAACAAAGGCTTCGCTGGAGATGCTGTGAGCCTCGGAAAAGAAACGGGAGCTAAAATTGTAAATGTCACCTAAGCCTTTTCACACACTGTCATGTGAGGCAGGTGAGTTTCCAAAATACAACGCACAGTGATGTAATCTAAACACTGGTGCAGCAGAGAACTGCAGTGTTGGCTCTGAACGCCTCCGGAAAAGAGAGAGAGAGGGAGAATGTTGGCCAGGAACCGTGTTAAGATTTTGTTTAAATTTGACTCTTAAAACTAGTTCAAATAGATTGAGTTTATTCTGCTGCGGTTTCA